AGGAAGTTCCAAAAATATCCAATGCAGTAAATGCTTTTGCATTTGATAATGCAGTAAAAGCATTTGATAAAGTACATCTAATCTTGTCTTTTTCAATGAATGAATATTGATTTGACCACACAAAACCTGATTCTCCTGCTTGTTTGTGAACGCTTTTTATTAATCCAATTAAGAATCTGAATGTATGAACAAACATAAAACTAGGTGTAGCAAAAAATAAAATAAAATCAGCAAGGTAAATGGGAGGCAGTAGACATTTCTGTGTGGGGAAAACAATTAATAAGAAAGTTCAAATTCAGTAAAACTCTTAATTCCATTTTAGTGCCATCTATACTTTGCATAATACCTCAGGATTTGCTTCAGTCAGACTGAATTCAATGGGATTAGACAATAAGCTTGAATGTCTTGCTGATTCAGAACAGAAGTTTTAATGCAAAGATAAATATTTAATGTAATTTAACAAGATTCTTTATAAGCATAACCAAAAGAAAAACTACTAACTGTGGAAATCAGATTTCAAAGTGAGGAGCAGATTTGCAAGACCTGCCATGGGCTTCACCCACAATAACATCATTAAAACCTACCATAATGTAAGATCATTTAGGAAGTATTTCAGCCTTTAGCATTGTGTACAAGGAAAACATTTATCCTTGCAAACAAGCTATTTACAGTTCCATTCCAGCCCATTTTTCCTTTGCTGGAAACAGCAATCACTGCAGAATGAAAGATGAGCTACACTCATGGCTATTGCTTGTATTCCAGCACCGGTAAAAAAAATCATTAAGATCAAAGCACCAGCCATTTTAATAAACTGTGAGCACTGTTGTTGTTGTGGCTTATGGCTTTGCTCTGCACAGAGGAAAGATGTAAACAGCACAAAAAGTCTTTTTTTTTTTTTTTTACTGAATGGCTTTGTATTAACACTAAATACTAAATATTCTACACACATAAGTATATTTAATACCTCTAAGTTATGTGCATACCTATATATATTAATATACACATGAGTAGACCTCTAGTTCTGTATACAAAGAGGTAGCTCAGGTCCTGACTTGCAATCAGGACATGGCCAGACATTATGCTGGGACAAAAGGGGAAAGCAAATGTTCCCTGATTCCCCAGTTTAGTCATAGGCTTCTCTGGCTTCCAAAATGGTGTTGTTGTTCCATGCCAAGCAGGGTGCAGTTTTATGACACAAATTGAAAAGCTTTGGGAAAGAGCTGCCATGCAGAAAGACACATTCAAAATTATTATATAGCTTAAGAGAGCTTCATATCTTTTGTAAGATTTTAGTCACAGATCCTTTATTTCAATTGTTGAATGAGTTTGCCTTTCCCCATATCTGGGTGTTCAACCAGCAAAGACACCTGCCACCTACCTTTTGAAAACAGCATTCTCTTGAAGGGGTCTCCACCAAATGGTGGAGACCAAAACAAATGGATGGCCAAAACCATTGTTCAACCAGAGGTGTTGAAGGTTAGAAGCCCTAAGCCAGCACAGAGAGTTGGGTTTAATCCTACTGCCTTAAGTAAACTTGCTAACTCATTGTGCAAAACAGGTAGAAGGAATATACATGTATATAGTATTGAGCAACTGATTTTTCAAGATCCTGGCTAGGCTGGTATTGCTGGTCAACAGAAACCATTTTATTTGACTTTTGATACAGAGAACTCAATACAGAAATTACTAAGGTAAAACAATAAACATGAAATGATACAGAAGCAGGTCTTTTAATATTAAGCACATCCGAGCTCAATGATTTTTCATAATTTTCCCCTGTTTCTCTATGCTAAAAAAGGTGGACTGGAGTTGCACAATTTCAAGGTAAAATTGTACCAGTGAGGTAGCTTTTAATATAAAAGAAAGCTTCTGAAAATATTTAAACAATTTAAACAGAAATACGTATTTCTCACTTATTACTTCATGAGGTTGTTTTTAAACATTCATGAGTCATTTGTCTTAAAATAAATTCTTCTCCATGAAGCTGTCTGCTTATTTTCAAGTTTTTAATGTGTTTTTCCCTTTCTAGTACTTCTAACTGCATTTTAGAACCTAATTCCTTAAAACTAATGAATATTTCTCCTTCCTTTATGATCCACTGCTGCTGTTGCTTAGCCACTGGTTATATCACTTGCACACTCTATCTTCACTCTTATGAAAAATGTTGTTATAGCCTGAAACAATGCTACCATATAGATAAAGTATTAAGTATTTTGTGCAGGTGAATAGCTCTTCTATTTCCCTTATCATTATCAGATTGGCTTATTCCTACAGGACTGCAGCAATTCTACAATCAGGATAATAAGCAGTGTCTCTCATTCTCTGAATATTGCTGATAAAAGAATGAATCTTATTCTTTCACGCTTAACTATGCAAAACGGCGCCACTCATTTAACTGTTTCAGGAATCTCTGAACCATATGGATAAATGTGCTCTTGGATGAGCAGGGTTTATTCCACTGTACCTAGAGATGTGAGGCAACACTAAATTTGGAGCATTAATTGCTTAAAGATGCATTATGTTAAGCTGATGTGTACAGAAACCTAGATTATGAGAAGATTTGGCTTGATTGATCGAACTAGCTAGAGCTTATAAAAGCAAATTTTGCATTTTGAGTGTATTCTCTCTATGTGTTACTTGCCAATCCAATTCCTCCCAACAAACAAATAAATTTGAATGTTTCCAATGAAGGAAGCATTTTAATTAATAACCATATGGGTTTTTATTTTTACAATTAAAAAAACCCAGTCTGCTTATATAAGTAGCAAAAGCACTTAGAATTCTACAGCTTTGCTATTGGAATGCAAAAAGTATTGCAAACAACAGATTTTACTTTACTCATCTATTCTTTGCTTTGATGCAAATACATTAATCCTGAGACCATTGTAAAATCACTCTATTTTTCTTGGTTTGGATTGAAGTCAGCCAGTTCTGCCTATTTGAGATAATTGATGGGTACCGACTATAAAACTTCACCTAAGAGCACTACTATTGTGTGATCTCATATTCTAATCTTAGTAAATACATGCCCCCAAGCAAACGATGACACTCTGGCTCTAAACAGCCCTTAGGTTTAGCAAGTCTGTTTCTTTTTACATCTGGCTCGTTTTAATCTGGAAACAGATGTCCTGCTCCATTATCTGAAGCACAACTGGACTCACTGGAGCAGTTATGGATCTGTGCCACATTTCAGATTTTTACTGAATTTGTATTTTTTAAGTGTATATACAGAAGGTTTGCTTTGTAGGTTATATTTGCTCAGATATACAAGGGCTTCAACTCAACACAAAAAAGGTCTATACAGAACCTGTAGATCATTTTGTGTGAAGGCTTACTAGCCTCCTAATTTCTTTCCTTCTTTTCAAAAATTTTAAATTCTCTTTTCCAATTTACTGAATTCAAAATGTCTAAGTATAAAGAAAAGGTCCTCACTTGACATTTGGGTCAGAAAGCACTGATCACGTTGAATCAACTTGTCCATGGGAATATATTCATAGTGCCACAGCTTGAGAACATGTACAGGTCAAACTCATGCCCCAAAGGTGACATCTTCATGGGAAAATAACTGGCTTTTGTTCAGCCCTAGATCATAGCTCGTAGACCCTCGGTGGTGCTGATTAGCACCAACAGGCATTTTCTGCAGCACAATAGAACAGAATGATGCTGATGATTTCATTTAAAAAATAACGGACTGGTTTTTTGGTACTGATTGAAATACACTTATTCAGAGAAAAATCCTGATTTGGAGTTAATATTTCCATATAGAAGGGACTGTGCCACATAACTATTTAATTTTCCTAAAAAAACCACAACTTAAGTGATAAAATCAAAAATTCTGTGTGCATAAACCAGCCCATTTTAGTCCTTTCCCTATTTTTTAAAGTTTATTAATGTTCTGAATTACTGCTAGTAATTATTAAATTACTGCATAATCACTGGAGAATTCTCAGCTCACTTACAATAAAATATTAATTTTCTCACACTCTTTGACTAAATCTGACCGTCAAATTCTTACAGGACTCAGAAGAGTATTTTGTCTTTCTTTGAGAAGACATTTCATTACCATGCAAATGGAAGTGCCTCTGAGCAGGCTAGTTGGTATATGCAACAAGTAACATACAAACCATAGTGTGAAGTCACTCCACAATTTATACAGAAAGTTTAACTCAAATTTGACTGGAAACATAATTGTTTTCTTGATATCTGGTATTTACATATGGCAAGGTGGTGGGTGGATATCTATAATATGTGCAAATATTAGAAAGAACAGCCATGTGAGATACTGTGTCAGACCACCAGAGAAAGAACATTTATAGGAAATGCATTTGGTAATTAAATTAATAATGGGCAATTGAATTGATAGAAGCAGGCAGCCTATTTGAAAGCAACAGAAGTACATAATGTAATCAAAGCATACTTGGTCCAATTACTTGCATTTGTTTATTTATTCAAAGGCGTGTTGTGTACTGACACTGCCTTTCAACATTTATTTTAGAAGAGAGTGCAATGTTCAACAGGCCAGGAGAAGACTGAAAAAGACCATGGGTTTACTTCTAAAAATAGACATCATCAATAAGCAGTTCAGGCAACTACAAATTCAGTTTCAAAGTCAATGTCTCAGGAACACTCTTCAGCAGACTAGGGCACAGACTCCCAAGTGTGGCAGAAAGGATGCTGCCAGCATCTGCAAAACTGGCTCCAAGCTGTTAATCTTGAACACATGAACAATCCACCCTAACATGTAATTTTAACATGGGAATACAAACCTGAAACTTAACACACAAATCAGCCAAACAGCCAAGAACTGTGACTTTCTTTGTCATGAAACTAATCTAAACCCAGTGTCACTCTCAAAAGCAGGTTAAGGTAGACAAATCTTTCTGTCATTCTTTGTAAGTGCCTAAACATGGAGCCTCTGCAGCCAGCCACAGGCAGTCATTAATTTCACACTGTGAAAACATTTTCTAAAGACAACTCTGTGATCAAACGTGGTTATTTACCTGTCATAGTCTTGGCAAATCTCCCCAACAGCTACCAAAGCTTTCAGGTACTCGTTGGGCTGATAGGGGTGGATGTAGTGCAGCGAGCAGCTGTTCCTGGGGTCGCCGTTGGATGCAGTGAAATCTATAGCTACCTGGAAAAGAAGAGAAGTCAAAGTGCTGCAGAGCTCCTCTGAGCATAAACACACCTACAGCAACTATATATATCTATATAGTTATGGATATCTATATATCAACTGTATATCTTTACCAGAAATAATCTGCTGCAGCAAAGAGACAGCAGCCTCACAGCAAAGGTCATTTTACAGTGTACTTAATCAAATTGGAATGAGGATTTCACTGGTAAATATATAAAATAAAAATATAAATATATGTAGAAGCAAATGACAGTTTATAAAATAAGAGGTAATAAAACTAAAACTGCATAATTAGGTAAAAAATTACCTGCATTGCTATTCTATGGGGACAATTATGTCCTAATACAAATGAATCAAATTAACTATCTCTAGGTTCTCATACTTAATTAAATTATTCCAGCTCAGGTGACATTCAGGACATAAAAGCTTTGCAGGAAAAATGTCCGTAGAGAGTTACAAGTCCCACTAAAACTATAAATTTGAATTCCAATTAGGGACATTTTTTAGGTATTTTAATCATTACTGTGGCTGTAGTAGTAGTTATTTCTTGTCTGGTATTTTTTCTCTTCAAAACATCTAAGCAGTGAAAATTAACTCTCTCAGTTTCACAGTTGATAGCAGGCTTAAACATGAGTTGCAGGGTAAAAAAGCTTAAATCCTGCACAGATTTTTTGTTGTTGTTTTTGAAAAACCTTAGAGAAGATTGTGGGCAGTAGTCAATGCAAAAGCAAGTATTAATGAGTCATCTTAAAATTAATTTCTCCCTTTTAAAATGCTCTTTACGCGTCTCACTGAAGGTAGGCTTTGGCATGTATCTTCCTTTGTTATGGATCAGAAAGTCCTCTGCTGAATTTGTGATGCTGCTTTATAGGAATTCCTAAGAGGAGCAACAAGAATCCCAAGGGTCTTACAGGGGGAACAAAGCCATTTTTAAAATGTCCATGTATCCAATAACCTATTTCTCTAAAAAACCCATTACACCTGAATATTCAATAGACAAATGGAGCAAGTTCAGATTTCAGTTTTACAGTGTAGCTGAAAGGTAAGGAAGGGTCTTGCTAAAGGCTGTAAAAATAACTCTGAAGGCACAGCTTGCTTTTGCAAATGTTCAGCTTCCCCAGCTGCAGCCTCTGCTTGGCACAAGTAACACTACTTTATGCTGCTTCAAAATGAAAATGGAACATGACATTTTCATGCTTCCTTAAAAAAATTACACAGCCCTTCTGAAACTTACTTTTGTTGCTAAAAAGTTAAAGGGAAATATCATACTAGGTCAACCCAACATGGCTTTCCTCCACTGGTTCTGATTTTTCACCTGTATCTTTCAGCTGAAGAAACTAACCTGTAGTAGGCTTGGAAATCCCTTCTTTGCTCGATCATTGATGAACTCCTGGCACCTCACCACATCCAGTCAGGAGAGAGAAGAGCTTTTTGGCTTGCAAGTAAGGGTAATCTTTCACCTCTGCTTCCTACTCACTGTTCAGGCACTGAAGCACTCAGTTTGTTTTCCACATAGATCTTTTTCTAAAAATGGTATCTGGATTTAACTTGAATAAATCAATGGAGAACCTCTCATGACTTCACTTGTGAGGGCACACAACTGAGAACACTACACATATTTAACTGAGGAAGAAAACAACATTAGTGGTTTGTGAAATCCAAGACAAATCCATGGATGCTTGTATGAACTACCTTAGTTGTGGGAAAATTTTTTGTAAAAAATCTTATTCAAGGTATGCATATTTTCTTAAAAATAAGTATATTTTCTCTGATAATAATTCAACCTTAATCTGATTACAGAAGGCACAAAAATGCCATTGTATGATAGGGAAACAACGAGGATTCCTGTAAAATTGTTTAAAGTAGGTGTTTTTCCTGACAATCCTAAAACACTAAAACACATTAACAAGACTTTAGTGACACCTCGAACAGATCTGGACAAGTTTCCCTTTATGGCTAACTGCTTTGGAAATGAAATCAAGAATGTGGAGTAGGAATAAGGAGTGGGTTTCATAAGCTTGGAAAAAAGCCTGTGGCTAGTGTTTGGGAAAGCAAAAAAACCAACTTCCTAGAACAAGCTTCCTTTTGGAAATGGTCCTTGCAGTAGAGGTCTGCTGATAAGTAAAAAATATCCTAATTTCCTATGATGAAGAATTTATGAATTTTTGTACTTGAATGCAGCATACTTATTGAATCTGATCCAAATCTCTGTTTGACTCCCACAGGGAGGACTTAAAAGAAAGATGACCGCTGTAAATTGCCACGATTGCAAAATAACAATGCTGAGCTCCTTTAGCATTATCCAACAGGACCAAGGTCTTCTGCAAACACATTGGATAAGGATTTGTAAAAATAAGTTAATATATGACAGAAGTTATAGTAATATCACAATTGAGCTTATCTTTTGGGCAGTTAAGTAGGAATCTTTCTTAAGGTACATGTATTTGATTTTATCAGCATATCTTTAAATGTATCAGTTCCAGTGTAGCAGTCATCTTCCCTCAGCTAAATAAGGGCATAACAGGGCAATAACTACACTCAGTACCAGCTTCTTTTTTTATCCTCAGACTTGTAAAAGGTGATTTTCACTACACTCAAAACATCCTACAGAGCTGGGACCTCCTGCTAGATTAGTCAGCAACAAATCAGGCTGCCCAACACTGTGACCTGCCTGAGAGACTATCTGTCTAATATATCTTTCTATTACAGTTCCTTTTATGCATGTTACACATGCTTTCTGCTGTATTTCCTGAAGTGATGAAAATGTCTTCTGACTACAGACCCATTTGCACTGCCAACCTCTGAAGATTTCTTCTGCAGGAGGGTACACTGTCTGATAAGAGATACAGTGTTTGGCAATAAGCTGGGCATAAAAATAGAGGGCTGGAATCAGCACTCTTGATCTCTATAGATGAAAGCCTCTTAATAACTGGTTGTAAAGTGAAGGGAAAGTTTACTTTCATTTTTCAGAGATGTTCTATCTAACTACAAACCATGTTTCTACAATCAAGATACAAAGTATCCCAAGAACAAACAGCATGATGTTACCAAGGCTTCCATTAGTGCCTTAAATTAGCAGGTACATCACTCTACAGCTTTTTGTTATCTAATGTGCACCTGGCATCCCAGTTTCCCTCCCTCAGCAAGTGCCTTTTCAAATCAAAGTTGTATCATACTGCCTGTACACAGCATGAGATCAACAGAAACGTTGTTAATATCAGGACAGTGACATATGAGGAGAGTTTCAAACAATCCCAAATCTACTACAGTTGGAAAAAATGGAAATCTGGGAAAGTCCAAGGAATAGGCCTCCTCTGTTTCAGTGGTCTGAATTAATCAGATTAGGACTATGTGAAGAGGAGATTATATGATGCATGCAGAAAGCAAGGGAGAATGGAATATGTCCCCAGCAGGCTGCACCCTTTTCTTTCAGTGACCACTGGAGAATTCATTTTGGAAAATAACAACACATCTCACAACCAGTCTGTGCTGAGGACTGCTGGAAGAAGAGTGGAAGAAAATACGTGAAGAGCAAGTTTGTGACAATGTTGAGTTAGAACCACTGGGCTATGCATGCAGACAGCTAAAGGTACAGAGATGTCACAGTGGCTTACCCTGGGTCCCTGCAGGTTGAAAATTGATAGTGATGTGCTTACACAATACTGTGGATTTCCCATTAAGGGCAACAGTATTTCAGGGATCTCTGTGGCTGACAGCATAACAAATCTTCCATTTCCTTTATGTCCTCGCTGGCCATCCTTGAAGATGAGCTTACTTATGCTTTCTATTACCAATTGTTTGTTTCATTTTAGTAAAATGAAATACAGTAAAACACAGTAGAAGCCACTATCCACTTTAAACCATTTGCCTTATCACTTTCAAACTTGTATTTTGCAGCCTACTAATAGGAAACCTGTGACAAGTAAATAAAAGGCAAGCAAATTGCCATAACCCTTCCTTGCACTAAGAACTTGCTCTTCCATTGGAAAACAGTTATGACGAATCGGAGTTTGAAAAGCTGTAACTTATTATGTAAATCCCTAGATACTTTCTAATGGTGGCAGTGCTCCTGTTCTTGAGCTGGAGTTGTGGGAAATGCATATTAACTGGTCTTTGCATGTGCCTAACCACATGCCCTTGTTAGAAAAGGCTTTCAAATATAACATGAAGGCATTAATGTCTTTCTGATAGTGGCCTTGAATACATTTGATAATTGAGTTCTTCCAGTCATATTTTGGGGGGAGAGGGGGGGAATGTCAGAAAAGATAAATTAAAGGGGTTTCCAGAGACTGGGAAGTTTCAGACTCGAAGGAGAAATGTGCATTGCTGGTACGTGGGGATAAAAGAAAAAGTAGCCACGTAAGGCAGAGAAGTAATTACACAGTATGCTTTACATGAGAGAAGACAATTATAAAGATCTTTGTCCTGCAGAAAATATTTTCTCCAAAACCAAAACAGAGTCCTCAGTTCTGGGTGTTATCCAATGAGTCTGTGACGAGTATGGACAAAGTCCATGTTTAACACTTCAAAAAGCTGATCTATACACAAGAAGACGATCCATTACTGTAGCTGCTGCTAGAACTTTCTGGTACAATTAAAAACACCTTTCTTTTTTTATCAAATCTTTTTGGAAAATGAAGGCTTGTCTAGAAAATGTGAAATGGAACATATCAGTAGCATCCAGTGTCTGCTACTTTATATGTGGGAGCAGAAATAGGGCAGGATGCTACAGGAAAAGAAAAGATCTTTAGAAGCAGAATATTACATTTGTGCATTTGATTTTAGCCCTTAAGCTGGCATAAATTAGAAATCACAGAAACCAGATTGGAACTGAGCCACAATCCGTATTCCTATGCTATGGGAAAACTGATATATCATATTACATTATATTAAGTATATTAATTTTTAGATACATGATACAAAAAAAGAACAAACCCACACACCATTAAATGTTTCTAAATTTATTAACTGGAAATACAAAAAATTGTATTTCTATTTATGAAGAGGCCTGCAAATCCTTTTACACCCTGTTCCTTGAACTGAATAGTTTCTGAGTACACACTAAATTAGAACTGTGTCCCCCGTAGTGCCATCTTACTTGGTAGCTATGGCTGAGATATGAAACACCATTTACCCCAGGCTGACAGAGAGCAATCCTTGGCTGGATCTCTCTGTGTGTGACTTTCAGTATGGCACCATTTCAGGGAAACAACTTGCTTTAACAGAGGACTCATTCTGGAAAGAGAATGAGTCCTTAATACATTTTGCAAGAAGAACTTAATAATTTACCAAGGAATGGCATGTAAGAATCATTTCTCTGAAAGTAATGAATTGGTATCTAAGGGGATTCCTTTTCTTCAAAACAAGTTAGAGAAGTAAGACACTTACTGTAAACTGTATTTGGCAGCCTCCCATGATATAATCTAAGAAAGAATGCATCTTGTGTATCTGCAGACAAGAAAGCAAGACATTCAACTTAGCTGTGTACTGATAAAACATAGGAGAACTGCCTGAAAAAAAAAATAAATTGGAAGGGGGAGAGAGACCAACTGAAAATAAGGTAAAGGAAGAATCATCAAATACAGTTTGAGACAAAAACAAAACTATATATAAACACACAAAAAAAAAAAAATCAAAATTCTAAACTTACAGAAAGGAAAACAAAAAAGTAGAACCAACATCTCTGTGGGAAGTCAGAGAAAATTTTGCTGTTTGTTTAGGAAAAGGAGGGCAATGCTGTAGATATAATGGAAGGATACACAAGGGATACACACACAGTTGGAGAGTATTTAGGTCTTAGAGTTTAGTATTGTCTTTTCCATTGTACAAGAGCAGAGATAGGGCAAGAGAAATGAAATGAAAGTTGAGGACAGTCAACTTGATTTTGAGATTCAAGTCCTTGCCTTTACTTTTTGTAGGGAACAGTTTCCTTTGCTATTCTACAGGCAGTTCCACTTTGTTCCAAGCACCATTAAAATATATCCCTGAGAGCTTAATAAAGAAACAGACAAAGAGCAAAACATATATTTACCTTGCACTGGTTAAGGATGACAATGCCTGAGTTCTTGTAGTTCTTCTTCTTTGCTTTGTACTTGGGGTTAATGCATTCCCATTGTACCTGTGAAAAAAATAGCAGTCATTCTCTGCAGGAAAATTTTAGGTACAGATTGAATAATTAACAAAAACTGCACTGCCCAATTTCCATAGTTGACTAAATCATTACAGATAATGGTACACAGAGAGGAAAAAAAATGAAAACTGTTAACTATGCAGAGAATAGTTAATAGAAAAAGGCTCAGGGCAAACATCAGTCTTTGAACATATACATGTGGACATGGCACTGAGGGAGACATCCAGATTAATCTGTTGTCATCTTCCAGTCTCGTAGTTTGAGGTGTTACATAAGCAAGATTGAGGATCTTCTGAGAGGACAAAAAAAAGAAGGAACTTAATACAAATGAGAATACTGGAGAGAGTAACCTGATGCATTGTATTAACTACAAAACTGTTATCACAATTACACTGCGTTTTGTATTAAACTCATGATTATAAAAATTCTGGTCAGCAATCATCTCACTTTCTCCTTTATGTCTGATAGCAAAATAAAAAGTGAATCAGGAAAATATTCACAAAGATGCAGCTAACTAATGATACATTTGAAATTTATCCCTAAGAAGACAGTAAAATACCTTTTTTATTTTTTTCATAGTTTTATTTACAAACAGTCGATTTTACAGCACAACAGTCCTACCTTGTTACTGAAATACATCTCCTTGTTCTTATAACATCTCCCAGTTTCTTAGCCATTTCCACTTGAAATGCCTTCCTCTGGTTTCAGGCAGAGTGATAAGGCCAAGCTTTCAGACCCTCACCTCTAACATTTACAGTGTTATTCATGCCTTTTACTGCAGGAGTAAGATGTACATTTGTACATGCAAGTGCCTATTGGCATTTGTAGATACAGATTTTTATCTCTAATGTGCTGTTAATGTGGAAAATGACATGACTATTTCCCTGCAGGGAGCTGTTTTCAAGTGTGGAGACAAGATAGGTGATGCTGGGTAACAGAAAGAAATACTATTCCAAAAAGAACCAGAACGATCTATTATCTAAAAATCTCTATTATGACATTTTGAAATGAAACATGTCTTAAGTGTTACAGTGTTTTGCCTACAATGAAAACCTGCCTAAGTGTTACAATACTTTGTCAACAGTGAGGTACATATGTGACATATTCTAGCAAAGTGTTGGAGCACCAAAAACTATTTTTACTTTGTGCTCAGCCCCAGAAATTTCATCAACTTCAAACCACTGTCTAACAGCAATTATTTGAATGTCTCTGAAGTATTCCAGACATAGAGATTTTGTAAAACATCAAAAAAAGGGAAGGCAAAACATATGGCTTTGGAGCCATTTCTGCACAGGGGAGGAGAGGTATCTTCATCACTGTGAAATGGAGACAGGTGACAGAGTGAAGAATAGGAAAAGACAAAAAAACAGTTCCAACTGCAGGAAGCACATCTGCTTGCTCTCCCAGCTAGCCTACAGCTCAGTTATTTGTCTTGTGAAACAAATTTTCCAACTGAGAAGACGGGCAGGTACTGGCCCTCATGTTCAGGGGAAATCCTCCGTAAATGTTTTTTCTCTACTCAAGAGAAGCAGTCAGGCTCAAGAAATAAAATCCCTTCTCTCTCAGCGAAGAGAGTGGCCTGTAACACAACACTGGAGTGCAATAAGCTCATATTTGGGTCTGAAAGCAAGGCAAAAGCACTGCTTAATCTTGATAGGTTGCTGTCAGGCAAAATGGTTTAACACACAGTAGTCTGCACACTTACTCGAAGCATTTCTACAGAGAAATCATACTGTCTGTATTTCATAGATAAACTGTAGTATATCAAGTAGAAAGAAAAAAATAGCAGACAGGATTTGCATTCCTCCCTTTGACACTGAAGTACACTGGAGAGGTGTAGTAGCTTTCCCCTGAACATCCAAGGTGAACTTCAATTCTAGCATCCTCCAACATGAATATTTTTTCAATGTGCATATTTAAATAAGCCCTGACCTATATGAAGCCATATACTATGCATATAATTTCTCTTCTTAGGAAAAGGATTATTTAAGCCTGAAAAAAAAAAAATTTCCACGGTATTTTTATGGAAGAGGTTTATAATAAATAAGGACCAAAGTGGCATAGAACAGAACTTCAAAAGAGAAAAAAAATCTCAGGCTCCCTTTGCTAACTGTAAAATGTAACTGTGAATGTTCATCTACTTTGCAAAGCATTTTAAGATGTATGGATAACAATTCTCAGTAACTACCTAAAGCTCATTAAAATATTCTATGTGCAAGTCACTAACATTATTGGTTTATGTGGATAATACAGCAAAGGATAGAACAGACTAGAAAATTTACACAAAGTAGGAAAACAAAAGGAAAGAACAATTGTGCACTTATTAAATCTATTGATGATAGTATAACGAAGGGAAGGGAATAAGAGAGGTGAGAGAAGACATTTCCCAGTTCATAGGCTTAAAAAAGCCAGCAAGATTGTTTTACACAAAGCTCAGTCTTCACTTACCCACCAAGATCCAGGTCTGGATCCTTGGCAATTCCCACAGTTGAAGCTAAAGATGTAACAAGCATCATTTGAAGGAAATTCCCCATGCAGGTCTTACTGTTTATCCAGCTTTTATAATGAGAACAGAGTTCAAAATACAGCTCTAAGCAGGTAAGTAATAACAAGAAACAATTCTCAAATATTTTGCTTGCACTGTTGAGGCCAACCTCAATTTCCAGTCTGTTCCTACATTCCCAGTATTGATTTGGTATCTGACATTGTTTTTTATTGATCCATTTTTGCTCTTAAATTAACTTTTCAGTTGAGAGGAAACTAATGCAATAGTCTGCAATCTGACAGTAATGGTAAACATTGTGAAGTTTGGCTTCGTCATCCTGAAAGTCACTTAGCATTTCCTCCAAATGCCTGACAGCTCTGGGCTGTGCAAGCTCTTTCCCTATCGAACAACACAGAAAATTTGAAAGAGAAAGCAAGCTGGTTTTAAACTACCTACGGTTAATTTAAGTAATGTTGCAAATGCTGGTAATGGACTCCCAAGACTATACTGTGCTGGTGTTTGTTTTATACACTTAAATTTAAACCACTGTGTGGAGAATTCATGAACAAACTCCATTCAGCTATTCTTCAACGAGAGTCACTGAACTAATGCTGACACTTGGAAGATCCCAATCCTCTTGTGCCTGTGATGAGGAGACACAGACCCACCCCTAAGTGGGAGATGTTACTCTGCACTGAAGGATACTGTCTTTCCAAACACCCTTACTCCTTCTCTTAAAAAACCTTCAGAAGAGAGAGAAAAGCAAACAATGCAACCACTTATGCCACACACCAGCAAAGGGATGTGGAGCTGACTGAATGAAGACAACCATTGTAGAAGCAAAATTTGGACAATATGTGGCAGAAGCTATTCAGAGAAAGGACTGAAGGTGTCAGGAGTGTTTCATGTTCCCCAAGGCCAGACAAATGACAGCAGATGCTTTCTCTGGGACAGTGCTAGCACACCAGGACATTGGGTAGGCCTGATCAGGAAAGGGCTAGTGATCTTTCATTGCTTGTTGTACGCTTGTGGCATAGCTTGTGTTAGCAGTAGAATGCTCTCTTGCCTCCCCTGCACTTGGTTTAGCTCCTCTTCCTTCCTGTTCAGCTGCGGCAATGAATTGCACAATTTGTGAATGACAAAGGAGGCACTGCAGTCTAATGGATGGTTCAAAACCCCCAGTCGATAGCAGGCAGCATTATATCCTGCACTGTCTCTTTCTGATGCCTCAAGAAAAACAAACCACTTTTGTGTGAACTGAGTCTCCTCCCACATGGAAGGCTGCTTGATTCCTGCCATCCCTCTAGGCAAGAGCACAGGATAGTTTTGTGGCTTTTTTGTATTCCTGTCCCAGAAATACATCCACCAAGAGAGAAGAGCTGCCTTTAATCATTCTCAGAGATTTTCTCTGGAAACTTGCCCCCGGGGAACGAAGTGGAAATTAAAGCATTTCTTGTTTCCCCAGACAAGCCCCCAGCATCCCCTGTGCTTCCGAGGCTCTACCAATGGTTGCCTCTGCACAGGGATTGGGCAGGTGCCTGCTCTGACTGCCCTCTACTGCCATGTCTGGGGCCAGGAGCAGCTGCTGGTGTTGAAGACAGTCCTGGGTGAACTGGGCTGTCTCCTGATAAAACTGGAATTGTCCTTAGGTGTCAATAACACATTGGCCCATTACCAAGAGCTTAAAGGTCTCACCGTGCAGAGTCATCTGAAGAGCTACCAGATGGAAAAGCCCTCCCTAATAACACCCTGAACTTGTGGGAATGTCAGGGGAGAAGAGAAGTACAGCAGGGTTTCTTCCTCCTCTTTCCTTTTGTGTGTGTGCAAATGCACACGTGTCCATTTTTATGTAATACAGGAACAGATTTTTCCCTTACATAACTCCTGTGCTGCATGGGAATCCAGGTGATTTCTCTGACTTTTTTCCTCTCAAATCCCTCTGGCTTTATTGCCTTGATTAAAAAAACCCAAAAAAGTTTTTTTTTTTTTTTCTCATTAGTAGAGGATTCTTCCTTTCAACTATGATAAGCTTTAATAGCATTTACATTTATGTAATCTCAACCTTCTTCTTGTCCTGTTTAAATATGTTTTATGGATAAATATTAGCACACCTTAGAAACTGCCACTGTACACACATATTAAAAACATATATTATATGTATTCTTGGAAGAATCTTAAGACACAATAAACTCAGAGTATTTATTAGTATTTAACTTTAAAAGGTAAGGATAGAGTTATTCTTACTGTGGTTTTTTTTTTTTTTTTGTGTCAAGATTCTGGTGAAAGAGTAAATAATAAAGTTTGGAATGGTGGAAAGTGTTAATAGAAGATCTAGAAACCACCGATTTACACATTGGAAAAGATCTCTAAGATCATTGAGTCCAACTGTTAAGCCAGCACCACCAATTTCACCATTAAATCATGGTTCATACAAGGGCTGCTTAAGATATGCACTTAAGCAAGTGGAACAAAAGGATGTCTTTGTGCCATTTTCTATTGGTGGTCAGTATGAAAACAGGCTAGGTGTCAGAACATAACAGTCTATGACCATAAGGTAATTGTTATGGAAGAGAAACACATAAAGTTATTATCCTGCGGTTGTTCATGATCAGAAAGTCTCCTTAAAACAGAAAACCAGCAAGTTTTCTCAGAATTCAGTCCTCTCAGTCATGGAGAAGCACTTAACACTCTGAAGGAGTCGTAATTCAGTATTTTCAAATCTCACCCAAGACATACCAGGTTCAGAAAGGAAATTCATAAACAACTTATGCCACTTCTGATCAAAACAAGTGATCTCATTCAGGTAAGGAATTTTCTCTTCTTTTCACACAATACTGCTTCAACCACTCAGAATATACCAGTGCTATCTAAAGGATGCCTGGTCTCAGACACACTTTTCTGAGAAATCTCACAGCCAAGGCAAGCCAGTTAGCTCATCTGTGTCTGACACTCAAAACTTGGGATAATCAGTACACAGCCCAGGGATGGAACAGTCTTAGAAGCACCACTGGCTTCTGTAAGTAAGCAGGTGAACCTGCTTACTTACAGGAGATGGATTCATTCTGTCCATCTCAAGCGGTTCCGTAGCAGTTGATAGATTGGCTACAAGACAAAAATATCTTTACTTTTAGAGGGGGAGGTTAAAGAATGGGTCAGAATGCTCTGTGCTTTCTGAAGACGAACTATGTACTTAAAACGCAACTTCAACATCATTGTCAGCTCCTCCAGAGATGAGGTGAGCTGGTGAAATTGTGAGAAGCACTAGCGGCTCACAGATACCACACAGTCCATGCTGCTCACCAGCACGAACTGTGGTACTCCTACTCTCACTGCTTAATGCATCTATGACAACTTGTGCTGCTGATTCCAGCAATACAGGCATTGCTGATGGGCAGAGAGGGAGATCTGTGCCACTGCTGTAGCAGTCCTTCAAAAACCACACAGATTTGCAGTTTAAGCTTAATCGAAGTTCTTGAATCCCCTATCAATGATGAATGTTCCTTCCAATTCTCTCCAGTTTTCTGAGAAAGTGAAAAACCCTGGCTGACAATCACTAGGGCGTTTTGATTATCTTTTGACAGAACTATAGCAATGTACTGTAGCTGGCTGTAAAGTCTATTGCACAAAAGAAAATATAACCAGAACAAGAAGCTTCACTGCATCTTCTTAGCAACTCAAATAGGGACGCCAGACCTGAGCTCTACTCTTTACTCTGGCTTCCACAGCATATGAGATGAAGTTCCAGGCTTTGGCCCTCATCTTCAACACTTGATACTCATGTTGTGATGCAATGTGAAAGAATGTTAACACCAGGGGCTGTAGGATGTAGTTTTAGTCCTCTGACTGAAAGGAGTACTACATGGAAAACAATATTTTCTGGTCTGAGGCTATGAAAGGGTCTCTTCTAGGAACAAAGAACTATGTTTAACCTACTCATCTCCCCACCCACATATAATTACATTTCTCTGATATGGCCTTCCTTATCAGACATAGCTAGCAACACATCTACTTGAAGGCGAAACACCTTCCTTCTATATCATTTCCTCAAGGTTCACTGTAACCTCTTTATTCAAAGTAAACACTCCACTGTGCATGCTTTTTCTTTAGGGAGGCTAAAACTAAAGAAAAACTGGACAACTGCTTGTGCAACTCTACTTAATGTTGCACAAAGGATGTTAACATAAACTATGCACTAAGATGTTTTTATGGGGTCCACAGACAATGGCATATATTGCCTTTAGCAGCAATAGTTCTTTCTGCAGAATAGAGAAAAATGAGATAGGATGAGGGAGAGACAGTGAGAGAGTGAAAGGGAAATTTAATTCTGGCTCCAGCCAAGTGACATGGCTTCCCACACAAGTGACCTCTCCTGTACGTAAGGGGATCACAGTATTGTTTTCCATAAGTACATCATCTCCACCAGGACCTGCTCAAGCTCCTACTGCTTGTTCTTGTCTATCTTGCTATTAGTGCTCACCAAACCCTGATTTCATCAGGGGCAAGAACCATCTAGAATGTGCATTTATATTTTTGGACCACTATTTATCAGCCATTTAAATGACTAATGCTTACTATCTTATCCACTCAATCTTGTTTTCCTCTAGAATAGGCTACAAAACAAGGATTAGAAAAGAGGAGAAAGGAAACTGATTCCCACCTTGGTGGTAACTGTGTCCCATGAGAATTAGTTATACCAACAGCAGGGTTTTGCAGGTGCAAGCCCACAGAATAACTTCACAGCCACAAGAGAATGAGAGGAGCAGGGAAGAAAAAAAGGCACAATTCCTAGGGCATGTGGAGGAAGTTTGCAAGTAAAAGGCTACAGGTGAAAGACAACCTGCAGAAATAGCAAATGGCAGGCCCATAGCAAGAGTAAGATTCAGGCACTTAAACCACAGGGCAAAATTAAAACATTTTGGGACAGCACTTTGACAGTGCAGTGACAACCTAGAACAAGAGCTGACAAATGGCTGCATTAACTTCTTATGCCTCTGAAAGAGTAATCATCCTTTTTGCTAGCTGAAGATGAAAAAAAACATACTATTTCTCCATCACAATAAATCTTTTATCCTGCAGAGCCATTCCTGGCATTCTGGACTGCAAGGCTCTTGTTTTGGCCAACAAGCTGTCTCCTGGGAAGGACCATGATGTGGTTTTAAGACACTTACATTCAAAATACACACCCTTTACCACTCTCACACAGGTATTTAGGTACCTGAGACACAGGTACTTGAGACACAGGTATTTGTATACAAATTTGGAGTGTTGTCACATCACTGGCCTTGTTAATGTTATTCATTCTGGGATTTGTTTGCCTCCTTATTTCCACACAAATTTTGCTTGATAAAAGTTTTGATCCTCTGACTTGATTTGAGAGAGCAAGCAAGGTTTCATTTACACTCAGGTTGTGTTCAGAAGTTATTTATGATGGATTAATATATGGCTGATGCATACCAGCAGTATTTTACACACATGAGCAGCATTTGCCAAACTTTAGTGTATTCTAAGAACTTCAACAGAAAATATCGAGAAGAGCCATAAATGTTTCTTGACCTATGGCATAGACTGACTGCTTACCACTTATCAAACACCTTCTGACTCTCTGTTAGATTTTTACTAACACATTATAAACAGAACCTTAATAAAAATCCCAGATAAAGCTTATTACGCATTTGTGTTTGGGGCTGAGATCGCAACAACAGTGGAACAATGAATACAAATTATCTGCAGGATCAACGTTTTTAACTCCCACTCAGAGAATTTATCAAAACTAACACCTTTAGAAGTAAGTAATAATAGAAAATGACAATTTCTGGAATTAGATATGCCAAATCACTTATCATATTAAATAATTACTATCAACTGCAATTTGAAAAGATCAGGCTGACATAAAAAAGTGAAATTATTGATAAGCTAAAAATTTAATTTTCCCTTAGGGCTGTAAATCATGAAATACTTAGAAAACCGATTAGTTTCATCATGTTGGGCTCTAGTTAAAGCTGGCAGCAATGAATGCAGCACATGAGAAATGGAGAAAGATGGAGAATGACCCTCACCCAATAGAGGCCTTTAGGCCAGCAGGGAAATGCTTTGAGTAGCCAGAATGGGCATCTGCTTTGCAGCACAGCACCTCATGGAAACCATGTGCTTGGGCTCAAAGGAAATAAATCTTAGCAGAAAGAAATGCCTGTGGAATGGGAGCTAGGAAAAAACCTTAAATATTTCAGGCATGAATGTACAGGAGCAAATGATCTTTTACATTTTCAGATTACTGCGTCCAGGTAACAGTAAAACCTGTGGGAGAGATCAACACAACTAAATTCTGGGAAACGATGAGGCAGTGCCACCTGTTTTATGACAGGATTGTCTGGGGAACACTGCTCTACAAAGATTACATATTGAGATTGCTCAGGTGGTTTCCACTTACCTGTCTTCCCTCCATAGCTCCTCGCATTTCCTTGAAAGTCGAGCTAAATTCTCCAATGAAGTCATGCTTTCCATTGGAATCCCAGTCCCAAACTATGCACTGGGGAGACAAAGGGGAAAAGAACAAACCAGCACATTCTTCTTCAGGCAGAAAAGAGATTTGATTGAAAAACTCTGCAGGAGAAATTATGATGCACACTGGGTAGAGTGTTTTATCTAAAACAAAATCACAAAACAATAAAATCCTATTCGTGTTCTGATCAAAATAAAATGGCAAGTGGAATCTCAACACAGCTTGCTGCTGATAGTTCTGTGTTATGGAGTTTGCCTAATGAAGCATGTATTTCAGAAGGAAAGGATTTCTTGTCTGCATCATTTTGCTAGGTGTGAAAATACAGGATTATGTGTATTTGCATATTCATGGTCAAATGGTGTCCTGACTTACCTTGTTGATGTACTTTACAAATACAAATTAATATTCAAAACCCTGTTTGCCTTGGGCAAATATTACATTTCTCATTTTTACAGTCAGTGAAGGTGAGACAATAGTTACAGACATCATTTTTTGAAATGGCTTTGAAATTATACATATCAGTGTTTGGTGCCCATATCTTGGCTGTTTCCCAGCGTTGCTCAACAGTGACTATTCAAACCAAATCTCACTGGTAGTCTTGCCTAAATTCATGCATAAAGATGAATATCTCAATGAGTTTAGCATTGAGAATTTAATTTTACAGATTTTTCCAAATACAACTCAGCTAGCCAAGACAGAAGCACATAGCAGTAACTACATGCTTTGCTAAATTGTAATTTTAAAACTGCTCCAAGGACAACAAAGGGGCTCACAGCTTTAAAGAACAAAATCCCAAACTCAGCCTTATGTTCTCTCTAGATGAACGTCACATACATTGACTGAATCAGGAGGCCTTTACTGAAAATGTCCTGCTAAAAATATATATTTTAGGGTTTTTTAAAAGCAGAAATGTGTTATCTGCCCTGTCACATGAATAGCACACTGTTATAGCACTATCAGATGGTTCTGAGGGTAGCAACAGACAGTTTTATCTGCCTTCTTTCTCTCAACAAGGCTCAGTGCTTTTGACCCAGCATTGGTGGTCAGACAACACAAGAGGAAGAGCAAAGTTTGCTCCTCAAAGACTCCTCAAGCCAATTGAAGTTAGCTTGGTCCAAAGGGGCACTGAGTTCACTCAGAAGGAAACAGAAATCATTGGATGTCCACTGGATTTTGAGTTTTAAATATTTCCAAAGAACCACTTTACTGAAACAGACTTCCCTGTCCACCAGTTATGCTTTCTAATCAGACTGAATAATCCAGTCAAAGCTGGTAGGTGGATGTGAGTGTCTGTCCGAAATTTCCCTCATTCTTTGCCTCTCATTCATCATGAAAGTCGAGACCACCGGGGAAAGGAAAAGAAATCCGGGTCCGACTGGTCCACCAAGCCAAACTATTGTGTACAGGTGTGTTTGCTCAACCCATGGAACACTGCACCTGGGAAGGGGCAGTGTGCTCTCCTTTGCCTGCTGGTCCTGGAATTTCTCCAACCTCCTGATTTGGCTGGACTTTCCCTCTGGAATGACCTTCTTGGTGGTCACCACTAAAGGACCCTCCATTCCCCTTCATCGTACCACTGTGACAGATGGACTGAGATGGAAGAAGATTCTCCCATCAAGGACTGAGACATGTGACCCCTACATAGAAAAGCCCCCTCTTTTCTCTAAAAGACTGAGACTGAAATCCCTACCGTAGGGTGGGGGAAGGCATGTGTGGGGAAGGCCAGGTAACCAAAGCAAATTTGCAAGCGACCACTGGACCGAGAAGACAATGGTTCTTGCCTACTGCTGATGACCTTTTGTACCCTTTTCAATAGACTATTTTGAAATGTGTCCCCCTCCCCCAATCAAAAAAGACAATAAAAGAGGTTAGACCTGATTGGTACCCTTGAGATCTCCCGTGACGTGAAGACGGCAAGCTCCGTCGACTGGACTTCAAAGGATCCCATGTCTGGTAGCTATATACCTCCTTTCTTTTCCTCCCCTCTTTTTTCCTTACTCTTTCCCTTCTCTTCATTCCCCTTCTCCTTAACACATTTTGTTGTGATTATTCAATAAAAGTACATTTGTTTTCATTTTTACTGCAAAACCCCCTTATCGTGTCTGTTTTTGCACCCTGAGATCAGTGAAAAGAACCTTCACGAATCTTGTCCTTAGGACGGATCGTGTCAGTGGACAATCCCTTTTGAGGGTGTGGGAAAGACTCTAAAAAGCTTGAGGTTTGGACCATTCTATCACCCTCCATTTTAACTGCCTTTTTTTTTTTTTTTTTTTTTTTTTTTTATAATTCAGGAATCCCAGACTAGAGGAAGATGTCCAGATCGAAATGTGAAAATATTTTACTCTAAGACTTGGAGATACTTTTTTTAGCAGCTTTTACATTTAGTGGGGAAAAAGGGAAGTTCCTGCATGAGTTTGTTTATAGGCTAAATTTCATACAAGAGCAATCAAATGAAAGTGGGTTTCTGATTCTGATAGTGGTAATAGTGCCTGGAAAAAAACTAGATACAATATTTTCAACACTAACAGTCCTGGAGTATTCTTTCAGATGAAATCTTCCCTAGAAATTACTCTCTGTTTTTTATCAACATAAATTTTTAGATGCCCTGGTAACAAGAAAAAAAATCCAAGAAAAAACTAATTTAATTCACAAAAAAATATTCCTGAAACTAGTTTTGTTTCATAGAGTCTGAAAATTTAATTTTATTTTTTCTGTGAAATTTCTTGACAATACAAAAAGCTTATTTTTATTGAAATTATTTATAAATATTCAATAAAAATGGATTCCAGAGGTGAAGCATGACTTAAAATTGATTTTTTTCTGTAATGGTTGCAAAAGCTATTTAAGATCTTAGAAGAAATACAAAATAAAATGAATTGTAAAAGTGCCACAGGAAATTGCTATACATGTGCAAAAAGTGTAGTTTTAGCAACGCTGGGAACTTTGAAAACAATGTTTTTGAAAAAGTTACTATTTCACAAAGAAAAGGAGAAAAAAGAACCCTTATGATGAAATTGTCCAACCAGATTTCCTTTTCAGGTTCAGTCTTTAAACTCAATTGGAGCATAAATACAAGAACAGACCCAAGGTTATCAGAGTCCTCCAGGAAAAGGTACTTTGAAAAATTTCATTAGGGTGCCAACTTTTACAGAGAGGGAAAAGCTCTGAGTACTTATTTGTGGTTAGAACTTTGAGTGGAGAGGAGCAAAGTTAGATTACATATAAAATGTCCACTCAACAGGGATCCAGCTGCTTTTTCTTTCAAGCTGGAGGTTTTCTAACTTTAGTTTTCAGAAAGCCAGATGGTACTTTAATCTTCATATTGGCTTAATGGAACAGGCAAACAATTACAGAATTATCTCAGTGCCATTTGTTCAATTACAGCTAAGGGAGAAAGGGGATTCCTGCACATACATCCATTATGACTTCTTTTTCCCCCCAAGTTTCACATCTGGCTGTAGAAATTGTTACTGTCTGAAAAACATGTTGTACACAGTAATGATCCTGCATTTCAAATGTATGTGAAAAGCCTTTCTGAAACATAGAAATAATGTGGTCCAGACATTTTTATAAAAACCCCCTCAGGCAGATCAAATAAGCAGGGAAGGATCTTAGCAAATAATCCATAATCAGGTAAAGGCCACAGGTGATAATCAAAGCATTATTTCCCAATTAAATACTTTAAAGCGTTTTTTGGTCTCTCTTCAAGTCAAATCCTCCACAATGTGAATCATACGTTACCTTTAGGCAAACCTTAATGTGTTCTTTGGGTCTGTACTCCTAGAGGTTGCTTAAATAGAAGATTAACAGTATACCTACATTCTATTAAAAAAGTCTCATTAATTTAAGGAGGCTTTCCATATACTTAATTTGAATGCTGGTAAATCAATGCTCAGATAACTGGTGAAAGAATTCAGTCTCCTACCTACAGCTTACAAGCTCACATACAGGGAATAAAAACCTCTGCTAATGCTGCATGGTGATGGAATAGCACTGACTGGAATGATGGAGAACATCTTTCCAGTCAGTGCTATTCCATCACCCTGCATGATCCTATCCTCCTCCTCAAAATACCCACTGAGTGCAGGGAGAGGGAACACTGTGCTATCCTTAGCGGAGCTAACCAGTAGACTGAGTTAAAATGACATCAGAGGATCACTTTTGGGTATCCACATCTTCATTCCTTCAGCTTTTCTTGTAAATAGTGCAAAATGAAAGATTTCCTTCCAGGCTGAAATTGAACCTTTCACTGGAGAAAGGTCCATTTTAAAAAGAAAAAGGTATCTCAGGTGGATGCTGATGGAAATTTTCCCTGGTTTAATTTCAAATTTTTCACCAAGATTAGATTTTGCCAATACTACAAAGGGCATTCAAGAAAGATTGCATTGGCACTGGAGCTACAACAGCATAGGCTTCTCTGGCTGATATTCCTAATGCTTCCCAGAAGATGACAGCTAGATTAATCTTGCTACCTCTGCATGAACAAGAACTCACTTGCACAATTTCTGATTTGATTGAGACTTTTCCTAAGTCTCAATACTAGAGCCAACAAAATTCCACTACAATTTTCATAAAATAATTATTGCCATAGTCATCATCCTAGCTAGCTTTAACTACAAGAACTAAGAGAAAAAGACTGGCTACAGTAAGCATGTGTTTGTGTGCCTGCAGATACTGAGGTTATTTTCCCTACACAGCTTCTGAGAAATGCTTGATTTGTCCCCATTAGATTTTCACAATGAGAGAACTAATACATACAGCACCTTTGGGTATGGGCAATGGAGAAGTATGGAAGTTAACAGTGCAATTTATGAACAAGCCCAAAACATGCTCTGAAGGTTAGTTTCTAGAAGACTGCAAGTGACTCTCCTGACTAAATCCTATCAGGAGGCAGCTGACAGCCAGACTGTGGAAAAGTACTTCTTGAAAATAATCCATTCAAGTTTCCCTCAGGTAGCCAGACACTTCAGATTACAGCATGCACAAAGCCAGGAAAAAAATGGAAAATTTCCCATCTTGCCAGCCTG